AGGGTATGTTTGGTAAAAATTCTCATTTTCAACAGTAAATCAATTCTCATTTTCAACCACACATTTTTCAATAAAATAATATTTTCTATCACATCAATAATCTTATCTTCTTTATCAACCACACATTTCCCATTATATCACTATTCAAAATCAATTCTTCCCCCAAAAAATTCCTACCAAACACACATTATATTAGTGGATGAGAAATGATTCCAAGTACTTTTTTTTTTTTTGTCTCGACTAATCAAATTTGAAAAGAACTAACGGCAAAAGGAATTTCGGAGGCACAAGTTTGTAAAATTAGCACACTTTTGCCTATTTGGATCTAATTCATGTTTTTTAAGGGCTTATTGACACAAATGATCCCTATTCTATGATGACGCTGTGAATTTGAGGACCTATCGTTTGAAGTTTGCATTTGCGTGCCCATATGAATCTTTTTACTACGAAAATGGTCCTTTACACTACCTCCATCTATTTTGTCCATTAATTGGATGCGTAACTCTCACATGAAATAATTTAGCAAGGAAAATTTATCCATGCATTTAATAAAAATAAACACACTCCTCCAAAAGTTCGCCTTCTTCTTCAACGCCAACCCAACACAGAGCATACATCTCCCCAAACCACGTCACCTCTCGTTACACCACCACTAGTGCCATCCTAGATAGGGTTTATTTTGTAAATACTACGAAACACGTTATCCAAAATATAATTACACCATATATAGGGTTTCTTTTGTAAATTTCCCTGTGATATATTTATATGTAACTCTCTATTTTAACATTTTTGTGTTCAATATGATGTGGAATTACAAGTTGTGTGGGTAAAACAAGCAGAGTTAGAAGAATTGGCAGGCCAGTACAGTCTCATTCTATAATATTGGCACCATAAATGATAAACCTAAATAATATAACAAATAGAAGTATAAATTACATTGAGTGCAAACCAATGTCCATGGCCTGAAAGATTCATGTTCAACTACTACCAAGTGTGTGCACTAATGGCATCTCATATCCTCTATACTACAATTAGATACATGACCAGTCACCGTCCAGCCCGGAAACAGTAACCGAAATGGATTAATCGGGCGTGTCTAGAAGTAGGAAAAGAGAATGGGGTCGGGAAAGAACGAGGACCCAAAAAAACCCGAAAAGAATGACAAAAAAGTGAAAAACTAGACAAAACTAGAGAATTCAAATAATAAAAAGGTGTGGTCGGGGATTCAACCTGGTTTTTTCATTTTTCATAAAACATCCTTGTAACACTTTGCGAAAATCGTGGATTTGAGGATCAATATAAGTCTTAGATTAATTGTTTGATGTAATCTTTTCTGATGCTGTATAGATGTTCACCTTCGCATTCTTGGAGTCGAAGAGGTTGAGCTTGGCCTTTGCACTGGCATGGTTTCAGGGTCATATTTCTGGGATGCAAGATAAGTTAGCGCCGTAACTACGTCCGCTATAAGGGGCCGCATGTTTGGCTGCTCCTGAACACACATTGCAGCAACAGCAAGAGCCTGGTATAATCCCCGAGTCGGGTACTGACCTTGAAGCATTGGATCTGCCATTTGAGAGAACTTCCTACGATCCCTGAACAAGGGCCGAGCCTGCAGCATTTTTTAGGGATTAAGCCATAAATCCCAATCCAAAGAGCAATTATGAATGAAATAAAAATAATAATAAAAAAAAAATCGCAGACAAAGAAATACGCAGATTTACAGTGGCTCGCCCTCAATATGAAATCTACATCTACTTACAGCTGCAAATTTTTCACCATAGTAAAGGAGACTAATAAATTATGGTGACCTAACACACATGCAGTCGAGGAGATAAGTGAACATTATAATTAGGCTCTGCACAGTCCAACAATATTAAGATGACATTTGAAAAAAATCTACGTTAAGAAAATCAAGTGGACTAATTAGCTGTCATAGCTCAAATTCCGGAATTTCCATGCGAGAAAATTAGAATCTTCTTACATGGACATTCCTTCAGTTAAACATACTGTTTTATTACAGGGTCAAGAAGTGAGATCATGAGAACCGAGGAAGGTTAGCAAAATTGATGAATTGGGTGGTACTCTCTATGCAAAAATATAAGTGCATTAGTGCATCAAACTATTAGAATGTGTACAAGAGCCATGTATGCTTACACAATAATATGGTGTGTAACTAGGCGCTCTCAATGGAAATCTGGATAGCAGAGATCAGTATCAAGTGCTGAAACACTTGCATAACCATGAAAACCTGTTGAATTTGGTTACTATGGCCAACTGAAACACTCCAGTCCTTGTCTTCATGTTTCAATTTAAGCTCTAATCCCTAATTTCAAGAGAAAGGGCAATCACAAAAGAAGCAAAATGCACACAGATTTATAGTGGCACACCCTCGATGTCAGACGACTCAGACCTATGTCTACTAGCCTGTAGGTTTTTACTATTATCAACAAGTACAGAAGTTTCCCATCACACTCGCTTGGACACATGAAGCAGAACCCCTAAAAAACCCTTCATTTATTTAGAAATATCAAGGTGACTTAATTCCTGTATGGAATGCCCAACATTAAGATGATCGTCAGTTGAGGGATAAGTGTACAATGTGGATTAAGTTCCAGATAGTCAAACGGATCATCACTACTGCTATTGCATGTACATCACTACAATTATTTACTCAAAGACTAAATTCACAGCCAATTATCACCACAAAACACAGGTCGATGCAACAGACCAAGTATCATGCTCAGCTAATAAATAAAGCAAGTTCTCGCTACTTCATAATTTTATGCAGCTATAAGTTATAGAAAATCAAATAAACCCATAAAATGTATATTAAAAACGAGGATCTTATCTTATGAAACAGATATACAAGACTTACCCATGCAACCAGATTGTGCTCCTCAGCAGCTTTTGAATTATCAATTGCCTTCCTTCCGGTGATGATCTCCATAAGAACAACTCCAAAACTATATACATCTGATTTCAACGTAAGTTGTCCTGTCATTGCATATTCAGGTGCACAATATCCATATGTTCCCATTACTCTTGTGGATACATGAGTATTGTCCCCAACAGGACCCAATTTGGCTAACCCAAAATCAGATAGTTTGGGGTGATATGCTTTGTCTAGTAAAATGTTTGAGCATTTCAGATCTCGATATATAACGGGCGGATTTGCTTTATCATGTAAATACTCCAAGCCCTTTGCAGCGCCAGCTGCTATTTTCATTCTCATATTCCAGTCAAGATGCTTCTTATCAGGCGGAAGATCTGACACGCTCAAAAGTTGATTGCAAAGTAAGGTGGTATTGACACATTCCAACAAAGATATAATACATTTTGGTATGAAAATCTAGTGTTGTACAATTCATACCGTGTAGATGATCTTCCAATGATCCTAATGGCATATATTCGTACACCAAAAGTCTCTGATCTCCATCAGCACAGTATCCAATCAAGTTGACTAAGTTTGGATGATGAAGTAGGCTTAGCATCAAAACTTCAACAAGAAATTCTCTATTCCCTTGCAAACCATTTCTATCAAGTTGCTTGATAGCCACAATCTACATAAAACAGCAAATAGGGTACACGTTTCACCGCTAAGATGCATAGCTGATTTTGCAGACAAAATTAAATAAATGTATTTGTCTCCTCTCTAACAGATTAATCTTCTACATGAGGTCATTCAACATGGTATCAGGGTACTCAAATATCTTGAGTTCAAGTCTCCCTAATATCCATAATGAAAATTGTGCATATATTAGGTTTTGATGAAAAAAAAATCCGGCTTGAACGTGTAGACTGTGTTAAAGATAATTTAAACTTGACTATACCTATGAGCTTAAATTTTTGGATCAAGCGGTTCAACATTTGAAAATTCCATTTTGGTCATTAGACTACCAACATTGAGGCTCTTATTTAAACTATCAAAGTAAATTTCAATAGGAAAAACCATAGCAATGAGAAACTTGGTACGGTCTCCTTCTGTAACTGCTTCTACTCTTCACCATTCTATCAAAGAAAAAATTCATATCATATTTAAACCAAATTTAATCTTTTCAGTACTCCTTTTTGTTAAGATAGATAAAGAAGCCAGGGATTCGGATATAACTATCAAACTTGGATTCTAAAAGTTCGCCCAAAGTAACTGTTCGAAAATTCACAATAAATCAGAGCTGGAGCATATATACAAGGCATAGGAGAGGCTAAAAAATTTCACAACCTGTGACTCAGCATTTTGTGAATAGAAATTGATACCCTTGCTTTTGATGACCATAACAGACTGTTCAGAGTTTAAAAGCCCGATTTTCCAAATACTCTCTTTTTGCAGATAATCAACATACCCATAGACTTTTTTTCTGTTCCCTGGAATCTTTTATATTGTGTAGGAAAACAATGTATTGTATATACAAGAAAGCCAATGATGCTCCGTTGATCAAAATCCCTTCACCTATGGAGGGGGAAAAACATGACACGCAGAACACAGGCAGTGGAAAAAAGAGGCAACAGTCCACAACATAAGAAAATCGAGTATCTGATGATAAGTTTTATCAATGAAGCCATAAGGAACTCAAAATTATGTCCAAGTGTCTCAATGGTCAGGGAATAAACCTGATTAGTACTCTCTAGTCGTCCTTTGTAAACTCTACCAAATCCTCCTTCACCTAAGAGACAATCTGCCCTAAAGTTCTTGGTTGCAGTCGCTAATTCACGAAATGTAAATGTGTGCGCAGCAATATGATCAGATCCTCCATCTTTAGAAGCTTCCGATTTCACATCAAGTGACAGGTTCAACTTCAATTTTTCTGCAACAAGAAAATAAATGAGTTCTATATAGAACTATCTGAGATGACAAAGATGAATAACGGCATAAGAAAGTAAACCTAAGCAATAGCCTAAGATGGTCTTCTAGCAACTGCTAAGAGCAGGCGTACGGGCTCTGGAAGTAAAAAAAAAAAGATTGGTTAAATTCCTCTTAAAACATCAGGCAATATAAAGCCTCTCAGAAAACAGGTGACATTGCAATGTACCTCACAAGGCAGTCATTGAACTTATCTAATAAGACAGGATGCCAACAGTTAAAACTTCAAACGCTGCTATATAACTTGATTTTTTTTCTCGAGTGTTGAACTGTGTGCTGTCTAACTGCATTGTACACTTTTTCCATTGATGTAATATCCTTCTTCATTATAGTGAAAATCTACGGCAACAAATGGACTTATATTTGACATTGAGGGTGAACCGGATTTGTGTGTTTGCCTGTTTCTTGTTTCATTTTGTTTGTTATTGCTCTGGGCGTTGGGAATTAAATTCATGAAACAGGTGATGCCAGCAATTATATGATAATCCATCATCCTAATGCAATTCTGAGTTGCTTTTCAGATTATCCATAAAGGAAAACTTTCAGCATGCAACAACTTAAAAAAACAAACAGGGATGCATAATGTAACGACCCAGGTCTCCATACCCAAGCCGTTAGCTTACGTACTGTCCGCTTGCACTTACCCCCTCAAGGCTTTCTATCGCGTCTCCCAAAATTCGAACTCAAGACCTCTGCCTAATGAGAAACTTATCAAACAGGCCAATTTGCAATAACCTGATGGTATAACTTATATCACTTGTTATGCATATTAAAGCCAAAAAATTATGACAAGATAAAAAGAATCACACAAGATTTAACGTGGAAGCCCAAATCTGGGAAAAAATAAGTTATGCGAATCTGAATCCTAAGACTCTCAACCCGATCTCTCTATCATGCGAGTCTCTCTCTAGATCCCCCTGGACTACTCTATCAGTTGATCAAATAATTATGTGTAATACACCACATATTTATAATACAAGAAACCCTAACATACTAGGAGAAACAATACAAACGAGTCTGGCACAAAGTAAAATTCTATTACAATAGGTAAAACCAATAATGGAATATTTGATATAAAATAGGGGTCAAAAGCTGCCAAAAAAGGGAATTAAGATCCTAATTCATCTTGCTCCTTCAAGACATCTTCAACTCTACAACCAACTCCCAATAGTCCTCCAACAGTATTTCCCGTCAAATGCTCAACAAGAATTCATGTCACAATGAAATTCTAACACTTGCCATTTTGGCTTGATTATAGTGCTAAAGAGCATTATCCACTTTTGCAGATGCTCAAAGTGGGAATAGGTGTTGGAAGTAGTCCCCAACTCCAGCCGAAAAATCTCTGTGCTCATTTTTTTACTTTCTTGTACTTTTCTTTTAAGATTTGATGTTTATATTAAGTTCTTGATGATTCTGCTAATTTCCTGGGTTTAACAATACATGAAGACATAAAAATGCTTATCGCTAATTTCTTTCTGCATTTCCCAAGTGATAACTCAGAAAGTTTCAAAACACACAAAGTTTTAATCTTTGCAGAGGTATTAGGAACCTCATAAGGGCTGCACTAGTATAGTCTAAAATTTTTTGAAGAGCAATACCAAAATTTCAAACACAATTAAGCCCTTGTTTGTCTACCATTATTCCAAAAAATTATTTGCTACAGTAAGATTCTCTACCACACATTCATTCAATAAAATATTCAACACACAAACAATAAAGTTACTTTAAATTTCAACCACACATTCTCCAAAATACATTATTCATTACTCTACTATTCTCCCAGGGAGACAAACGCACCCTGAATTATATCACGAAAATAATGCAATCCTGAGTGCACATGGAATATATTCTCTCAAATTCGTAACATGAAAATTGCAGACATTAATAGAAGAGAGAAATAAAATTGTATTGGTTGTGACCAGAGGAAAAATTAGAACTTTGAGAGCTTACAATGTCTTAAAAATTCAATAGAGTTCTCTGTATTTTTCCTTTTTTACAAGTACCTTTTGATGGGATCTGATCAATAGACGTGTTGTTCTGTTGTTGCTTTGCTTTCTTCTTTGATTTTCCAGAACACAAGAAACAACCCATGTTGCTTATTATCTTTTACTCTCTATATCTCTCTATTGTGTGTGTTTTGGTTTCACGGAGCAGTGAAACTGTAGAAGAAAGAGAGAAGTGGACACCATTATCAGACAGGAGAGTGAAGGGAAATTCAGACATGGCCGGGTTCTTTTGGTATATTCCTCTTCGTCGATGGTAAATTTGCAAGATTGCCCCCTCGGTTTCTGTTTCATTATGAAAAAGTCCTGAACGTTTTAAGAATTACTTTTGGCTTGATGACATTTTATAAAATTCAGCTTAAACACTCGAACCAGTATTTCAATAACAATAATATTGATTTGAAAAGTAGAACTTATGTTGATTTGTTATTATTTTATGTTGGTCCTCCCATTTTATGTTTTCTTATCGACTATTAGTCGATTGTGTTTATTTACGACTTCTTGATCAGATCAATCACACAAAGTAAATAATGTTGTATCGTTGATTTAGTAATTTATTTTAACTAATAAATATTTTTGGTGAAATGAAAATTTTCTTCCGACAAACTTTTTTTTGTTTTAAAATTATAATCAGTCATGCAAAATGATTGTAAAGCCTTTTAATTAAAGAGTTGTGCTATATGTATATAACAATTTACATAGAGGGTGTTTGGTGTGGATTAAAATTTAATTTTTAGTAGAATCTGATAGAAATTCTTGAAATATGTGGTTGAAAAGTTGTGGGACCATGAAAGATGTGGTTAATATTGATCGTTTGACTTTGACTTGAATTAAAATCAGATTTTAATTCGAACCAAACATTGGCATAATGATTTACTAACAGATGAAATTTAATTAGATCAAAATCTCATCAATCAAATAATTTTTTCACTTACATTTTGATACCTTATTATTATGTAAAACATTATATAAATTGATATGTACATCAAGCAATTTCCTTAATTAAATTGTGATAGCATGCAAAGTCGTCAATGAATATCAGAGTAGCTAAACGAGTTATAAACCCTATCATCTGTACCTAATTTGATATGAATGATTATATGTATCGCGATTTGTATAAAAAATGAATATAAGTGTGTGTGATGGATATTATTGAGAAAAAAATGTATTTTAAATAGTGATATGATGAGAAATACGTAATTAAAAAATAAGAAAAAATTATTAATGTTGTGAAAAATATTATTATATTGAAAAATGTGTAGTTGAAAATTAATTTTGAAAAAAATACATTTTGAAAGAATGTGTGTCAAACGTGCGTTAAATGAAACATAAATTCTAGTGAACTTTGTCTTGAATAATAAGAAAGATCCGTGTAAAAGGGAATATAAATGATCATCAACTTCGCCAGTTGGACGAGAATATTTGAGTTCGAAATTCGTGCAAAAAAGAAGAAGAAGAAGAACATGAGAAAACTTTTTGTGGAGAGAAGGATATATTAGTCAAATAAAATAAACATTTGAAATTATTAATAAACTGAAGGTAATATTATTCACACCCACATTTTTTTTAACCTCACAATTTTTAATTACAATTCATGTTCCCAATTTTTGCTCATTTTCACAATTACATCTAGGGGTGGGCATGATCCGATTCGATTCGGCATGATCCGGTTCGGTCGGTTCTAAAATGAATCAAACCAAACCCGAATTTTTCGGGTATTTAGTAAATGGAACTGTCGAGTATAAATTTAATTATGGAACCGTTCAGATTCGGTTCGGTATAAAAAAAAAAAAAGTCTCTACAAATAGATTATGAGAATTGGATGATGCATTATTTATTAGTATTTTAAACTACCCATTTTTGTATTAAAAATGTTAATAGTTATATATATGTATATATATTTTTTGAAGTTGAGATTGTAATTTATCAATCTAATTTTTCGTGAATATCACATAAGATAAAACCTCTTTTCATCATCGTAAGAACCTCATTTTCGACCTCTTGTATTGCATGAAAAATGAAAAATTAAAAATCATTTAAAAAAAGAGACAGCTCTCGTGATTCCTTCACTCAGAGACCATGAGCATCAACACCCAGCTTATTAATGTCATTGCAGGACTTGGAGGAATAATTAAATTTCAATTTGATTTTATCATTTTCATCGAAGAGCAAGCTACATTCCCTGCCATTCTAATCTATTATTGATAAGGATTTTATTGATGTTGAAGGTAACTTGCTTATCAAGCCACCCACTTGAGAAGCCAATTGCTAGAAGAAGAAGAAGAAAACAATGGCTAAAAGAGTAAGCCTCGAGAGTTTTTTCTGAAAATGTGCATAACTTATTTTCTACCTACAAGAGGAAGGGAAAGAAGAACTTAGCAAGGCATAGCTAGTTACTGCATAGGAGCCGACTCGACATCAGCGGCTTTGTGTCGCATTGAAGCGATCTAATACATGGTTCCGCACAATTTTGATTTTCTGTGATGTTGATGGCAATACGGGATCTTTTAAATCTATCATTTGTAACTCTTATAATTGGTATTTTCCATTTTTCTTTTCTTGGTGAATTGCGAATATATACTCTCTTTTCTTGGCAATACGCTCCTTTATGTTTATATTTACTTATTATGAAGGATTAATTAAACTTGTCTTGATTTTGTGTTATTTTGTACGAATACTACATACTAGATAATTAAATTTGTTGCGATTTGTATTTCTAGCCATCATTCGAAGCTATCCCACGCTATTACATACTCAATTAAACTGAAACACGTGCATTGCACGTGCGTAAACTAGTTTGTATTAAAAATGTTAATAGTTATATATGTGTATATATTTTTTTTGAAGTTGAGATTGTAATTTATCAATCTAATTTTTCATGAATATCACATAAGATAAAACCTCTTTTCATCATCGAAAGAACCTCATTTTCGACCTGTTGTATTGCATGAAAAATGAAAAATGAAAAATCATTTAAAAAAAGAGACAGCTCTCGTGATTCCTTCACTCAGAGACCATGAGCATCAACACCCAGCTTATTAATGTCATTGCAGGACTTGGAGGAATAATTAAATTTCAATTTGATTTTATCATTTTCATTGAAGAGCAAGCTACATTCCCTACCATTCTAATCTATTATTGATAAGGATTTTATTGATGTTGAAGGTAACTTGCTTATCAAGCCATCCACTTGAGAAGCCCGTTGCTAGAAGAAGAAGAGAAGAAATGGCTAAAAAGAGTAAGCCTCGAGAGTTTTTTCTGAAAATTTGCATAACTTATTTTCTACCTACTAGAGGAAGGAAAAGAAGAACTTAGCAAGGCATAGCTAGTAGCATAGGAGCCGACTCGACATCAGTGACTTTGTGTCGTATTGGAGCGATCTAATACATGGTTCCGCACGTTTCACCACTTCTTCGTTCATTTCCATCGTAAATTTAAAATTTTGATTTTTTAAAAAAATTTTAAACTCTCCAATTTTGATTTCAAATTGTAGTCAAAATTTCAAAACCTAACTAAACTATTCTAGAACAATTTTGCTTATTTCAAAGTAGTTCATTAAGCGATCGATCAGCGTGGTACCAAATTGACGATTTCAAAAAACGATTTCGATTTGATTTTTCACTTCGATATTTTTTGCTCACAGAAACTTCAATTTTTAAAATAAGTAAATTACCTTTTTGTTTTTTATTCTCAAATTCTACAGTAAATCAATTCTCATTTTCAGCCACAAATTCTTCAATAAAATAATATTTTCCATCACATCAATAATTTTTCTTCTTTTTCAACCACACATTTTCCATCATATCACTATTCAAAAATCAATTCTTTTCCCAAAAATTCAACAAGCACTAATTTTTTTTTAACACCAAGTAAAAATTGACTCAATAACTTATTCGTAAGTAAGCTTTTGGGCTGGCCAAACATGCTTTGTTACCACACTGCCCATTACTTCTATCAGGAAGTTACCACATCAAATCAAATCAAAACCAAAATCAACTTGAAATCACAACAAAAAGCTTTCAATTTTCCGAGCTCAGGCGAAGGGGCTGAAGAGAGGAGGTGACGAAGGAGGAAAAAAATGGACGACTACACTCGAGAAATGATGGATTTAAAAACCCTAGTCACTCGTACTCTTGAAAAGAAAGGCGTTCTCGCCAAGATCCGGGTCAGTATTCCCTTTGCAATTTCGTTTTCTCCTATGAATTTTCATTATGATTTTTTTCCTCTATTGTGCTGCGCGTGTGCTCTGTGCAATTTGGTAGATTCATCGTGACGTCGAAATCGAATTTTTCACGGATCGGGTTGTTTCGCATGCATTGCTGATGTAATTATGTTTGAATTTGGGGGCATCTGCTTTTGACTGATAGAAAGCATCTCTCTTTTATCCTTCCTGACCGAACTCGCCAAAAAAATTACAATAGAAAAAGTTGTTCTTGCCGGGCGAGTAGTGTGGAAGACATTTTTATCTGAGGAGGAGGCTTCGTTTGTGCGTTTTTGTTACAGAATTAAGGAGGAGGGCCTCTAGGTTATTGAGTTTGTATTATTTACAATAGATGTACATTCTGCATTGTCGGCCATACCTTGTCGTGACTCATATTGTTAATGAAATTATTTTGATGCATTATCTGGTATTATTATACGAATTTGGACTGACTAAAAGTTAAAGCTGGGTTCAGGCGTAGAAAATTGAAATTGGAAATATTTGGATTACTAGGATTGTATTTCATGAATTCTCCAGTTGGATGGTCCAATTATATTTTACCAAACTCGTAAGATTTGCAAAAGAATAAAGGATTTTGCGAGTTATTGATTTTTCTAGAGGCAACAGTTATAAATTTGCTCGGCTTCTAGTACATAGTTTTTGTATTGTCGGGACTTCTTGCCTTATCCATTTCCATAAATAAATTTATGGTAAGTTTTAATCTATACTCAGAAGAAATTTTAGATATATATGATTATGCATACATATTAGTAGGCAAACAAGAGTTTTTGGTGGGTTTATAGTAGAAGATGTCTTGAGTAATTTGGTTGATACTTGACCAGTTTGGTGCTTTTACGTACTAGGCTGAGTTAAGAGCGAGTGTGTTTGAGGCAATCGAACAGGAGGATAGAGTCATTGAAAACGAAGAAGGTTTACCTCCTGCGCTTTTGGGTAGCTGCAATGATCGCGCAAAACAACTTCATAACTCTCCTTCAGGTTTACTTTTATTCTAACCATCTCACTCTTATTTTGTTTCTTACATTTGCTTAACTAGCATACTTAATTACTCCATGTCTATGTATGCTATAGAAACTAGGTCTTTGTGGTACTTAACATTTAACAATAAGAAAGAAAATTTAATTACTCAAAGATCTCTTTACACACATCTATAATGTTTCTCTATACATTTATGCTATCTTTGCAGTTGGGATTGGATAGAAAGTATGGAAATTGCAGTTCACCTCCCTACTTGCTAGCCTAATTTACTTTGCTTATGCTTTTTGCTTGTCATTCGATTTGCTTATTGCAGGAAGGCTGCTAACTGCACTGATATGTGAATATTTGGACTGGGCTCAGTTAAACCACACACTAAAAGTCTATCTGCCTGAGTGTAATTTGGTATTTTTTACATGTATAATTGCCAATTTGCAATATTTCTCCAGAAACTCTTGTTTGTTTTCTGATGGCTATCTTTTGTCTAAAACTGATGTCTTAATTTGCAGCCAAGGGAATCCTGGAAATCTGAATTAAAAGACTTTAGCAGCAAAAATGGTTATGACCTTAATAGGAATGGAGATAGTGGTCCTTTACTTTTGGATGTTCTTGAAGGATTCTTGAAGTACGAGGTTTGATATGACTTCCTGTCTTACTTATTGAAAGAAAAGGATATGACTTATTGTATTGTATGTTAGACTTTTTAAAGTTGAACCCATCCCTCATATGCTGGTGTACTACTATCACAATCGTGAAAAATATTTGGTACTTGCAGACAATACCTTACATTGTCAGCATGTTTCTTACTCTGTCTGATTTACCATAAAGAGTTTCTGAACGAATAAGGCCTAACAATCACTATGATTAAAGCTTTATTTAGGAGTGTATGTTGATGTTAGCAGGTTATCATTCTTAAAATGTAAGATTGGCTTGGCTATGTGAATTTTTCTTATTTGTCAAGTTCAGAATTTTCACTCAGAACGGAATCTTACGCAGGTGCAACAATCAATGATAAGTTTTGATGTTATGCTTCACAATACTTCAAATGTGTCCAAAAAGTTCAATGTTATGGTAATGCAATGTGGTTTAGGATTGATGCTATATGAAGATTGTCCACTGGATATTTATACCTGCTGTGAAGTCTTGCATCTTTGCCAATTTTTAGGGATATTTCCATTATAAAACATTCTATATAATCCTATGTTTTATTGACTTCTATGGAAATGACCTTTTCAGTTGCAATTCTGATGTATGTTCTTGCAGAATTTATCTCAAGGAAGGGGTAGCAATAGGAGATTAACCACCCCAGATGCTGAACCTCTATCCAATTTTGAAGCCCGAAATATCAGGAGACCTTCTTCATCATCAGTTGCTGGGGGATTACCTCCTTTGGGAAGGTTTTTGCTAATTATGGTTTTCTTTCCCTTTATTTTTTTCTTATCCTTTGCTACTTCGCCACTTTCAGTAAATAACTTCATTTCACAATATGCTCATTGCAGGACGGTTCCTGGTTCCCAGTCATCTGGTGAGTAGTAGAACCACTTTTTGCATCAACTATTCAGTATCAGCTCAATTGGTTTTATCTTATTTTATTGAGTCTCAGATCGAAGAGCTGGATCATCCATATCTGGTTATAGGAAAGATGATCATAATTGGAGATATGACAGTGATGAGCTTCCAGAGGATGTAGGACGTGCATCAGCGGCCTTAGAAAACCTTCAGCTGGATAGAAAAGCTCGAAATTTGACCACCTCTTGGAGGTTTGTTTTTAAACCCTTGCATAGAATATGTTTTAGATTTTTCCAGAAAGAGAAAAACAATTGCAATCAGAGGAATCTTTGGAAAATATGAACTGTTCTCACGGTTCATTAAATACTACCAGAATTGTGAGGTATATCTAACAAGATCAGTATGCCAAATAGTGATTGTGTTACATGTTATTTAATATGCATATATCGGGACCTGCATGATCTTGTTATGCAAACTTATTGTTTATATAGAAATATGTCTCTTAACTTGCAGATTTATCCTACCCATTTTTTTGAGGAATAATTTCGAGGTGGCATTTTTTACTTGTGTTCTCCTCTTAGCCAACAATAATACTGCATACTGTGTTGCCAGCTAGATATTTTTTCTGGTTCAAGGGTTGATACTAGTGAACCATGCATTAATGGCAAAACCATAACACTGAAACATAGACATCAGGCAATCCTACTTCCTATTCTGCAGTGGCTAATGCCCTGTAAATTGTTTGAATGGTACAGCCTATGTTTTGTGATGAGATATAGAAGACTCACTTATATATCAAAATGCAATCTTGGAAAATTACCGGAATGTCCTCAACTGAGATTTTAATGAATTCTAAAATATTATAAATTCTAAAAATTCGTTAGGATTTGAATATATCACCACATCATTGTTAAGAATCTCATTAAAAATGTTGAAAAATTCAGAAGAGTTTGTTATATGTATTTCTAAGCTGGAAATTCATCTAGATTTTTTGAAATATCTCAATGAAATCCTTATAAAATCCATGAGTTATTTAGGATACCTTATATTAATGGATTTTATCAATTGGAGACATCTGAATTTAGAAAGACTTAAAATCCATTAAAATCTCAGTTGTCAGGACACCCCTGTAAAAATGGGGATTTGCACACCATTGAAAAACTTCTGTGCTTAACTGGGTACAATTTAAGCAAATTTCCAAGAAAGAGACAATTGAGAGACTTGATTATCCCAGGTCGAGGCATCTTCCGAGACTTCTGGTTGTGTTTGGTGATACATACAGTGCGTTGGCAGCAATTCAAAGTTTAGGAACTATGCGTGGTCTCAGCTTAACCTAGTTTACCAAATTTGGTTTCAGGCATGCAGGGGATGGAATGTCGAAGGATGATAGCAGGATAGACCAGATGTAGGCATGTAGCCAAATGGTCTCTTGACATATTTCAAGTTTGATTGCATTCGCCTGACAGTATGTTATGTTATGTAATGGGCAATGAATATTATGTAAGATTGAAAATACACTTTTTTACTGTGTTAGTGATTCTATGAGCTTGGTTTGTTTCTTGTAGTTTGGGTTGTTAACAGTTGCTCCAATTCGAGCTCGTCTCTTACCAATTGTATTGTGTATTTCTTGTAGAATGAAAGCCTAAAGACAAAGATTTGAACATTGCAGTGATTATTGTCTGTAGACGGCCAATGTCAATCTGTGCTTAAATTCTCCCAATTCTTCGTTTTTTACGCCTTTTATGAAAATAAGTAAGTTTTAGAACTGAGTAATATTACTTGCAGTCGCTTACTGCAGCAGTTGTCTTATGTAGCACACACATGACATGTAGTTATTTGATGCATTAATGTGGTAGTTTTTTTTTACCACATTTAATGCATCAAATACACACTTGACATGTGTGTGCCACATAGGGCGACTGCTGCAGTGAGCGATTACAAGTAACATTATTCTTTAGAACTAAATCAATAACCCAGAAGTGACAATTAAGTCATTAGGTGCCAAACGTCTTATTCGAACTGAAGATGTCAAATTCTTGTTGAATTTTGATAGATCAACCTCTCGTTCTTAGATTCAGCTACTGTTTGATCCACATTATTATCTCATTAAAATGAAAATATGACTGTTATCCATCACATCAACATTTAAATTCAAATTTTCTATCTCTTATGTGGGCTTCAGCTATATTTTTCATTCTCATTCTATAATAATTTGACTCAAATAGGGTCTCAGACTCTCAGTTCATGAAAGTTTTGAATGCCATTGCTAGTTATTTTAAAGGGAAAAATTCATTTTTCCTACTTTATCTTTACCCTATTTCAAAAATGAAAAAACAACTTTCACATTTCAAAAATCAGATATTTTAACCTATATATATATATAAAGATATAAATAAAATTGATGCATTCAATAGCCTGAAATTTCAAGTCTCCGCACAAGAAGGCCAACAATGGTATTCTGGTCTTTTTTAAGCGGGCGGTGGCCGTAAATCTGCTTTGCACGGCGGGGCGGCGCCGGGTTGCATAGAGAAAATGGGGGAGGGCGATGGGTTGTTCTGTTGTAAGAGAAAGGCGAAGGCAACAGGTTGTGGGAGGAAGGTGAATGCCGGAGACTGGGTGACGTCGCTGCATCGGAGCTTCTCCAGGTGGCGGCGACGGGTTGCATAGAGAAGAATGGAGGTGATCTGAGAGAATTTGATGGCTTTGTATGAATTGTGCATATTATAATTAATTATAATATTTAATTAAATATAAAAATCTGTATCTATCTATAAAATATCTGATTTTTGAACATTAAAATTTAAAATCTGATTTTTGAACTTGAATCTTGAAAAGTAAGGCTCCATGTAGTTTTCACTATTTTAAATTGTACTGTACTGGTAAATTTCATTAGCATTAACTATACTTTCATTTTAACGTTAATAAGGTAAATGTACATAAATTTTATCCAATCGAGTAATTACACTATAATTTAATCCCAATAAGGTCATTCTAATTTTATTTTATTTTAGTTAAGAAAACTATGCACTATTACATCGATGGAAATTGATGACATGATAATCAATAAATGATAAATTGATAAAGATTGTCATTTGTTGACTATCACGTCATCGATTCTCATTCGTTAAAGTGATAGAATTGGATGAAGTTATTGAATTAAAAATAAAATGCCTAAAAGTACGCAAATAGTGCTTAATCGCTATTACTCATTTTTACCATTTTATTGATGGAATGGAATTATTCACAACAATATCATATTAACTTTTGAAATATTTTCTTTTCAATGAAGAAAATCAAGTGTCTCCTCAAAATGAATTTGTTTTATACATACGATGTACATCGGTTAAAATTTGAAGACTTTAAATATAAGAAAAAAAAAATTTTAAAGACCAAACAGATATTATTTAATTTAGGGATGGCAAGTGGGCAGGGCGGGGGGTCCTCCCCGCCTCCCGCCCAGCTAAGAAATTCTTCGTCCCGTTACTCGTTTAAGGCAAAGCGGGGTGGGGCGGGGCCTTTCCCGGTTAAAAATTTTTTTTTTTAATAATTTATTTTTATTGTCCATATTCATTAGATTTAAATAAATAATTTTAGTTGCTATTTTTTATTAGAACTAATGAAAATTTTCATTTAGGGTACGTTTGACTGTAAGGGTGGAAAGAAAATGTTTTACAGGAAAAAGATTTGCCTAAAAAATGTTTTGCAGGGAAAATGATTTCAAGTGTGTTTGATTGGTATAATTTTCCACCCGGAAAAATTTTAA